TGGGTAATTTTTAAAGAAAAAGAGGTTTAATGGACTCACAGTTCCATGTGGCTGGGGAGGCCTCACAATCATGGCAGAAGGCAAAAGGCACGTCGGCGGCAGGCAAGAGAGAGAATGGGAACCAAGGAAAAGGGATTTCCCCTTATAAAACCATCGGATCTCGTGAGACTTATTCACGACCACGAGAATAGTATGAGGGAAACCGCTCCCATGATTCAATTAACTTCCACTGGGTCCCTCCCACAACACGTGGTATTTATGGGAGCTACAATTTAAGATGAGATTTTGGTGGAGACACAGCCATAGCATATCACCGAGTCAGATGAAATACTAGAAATACCATGCTTATAAGTTATTCTACTATAACAAATTATACTGATACAATCCTAGAAGTAATATATATGAATTTCTCTAGAACAAGTGCTCAATAGAACCCACTTTTGGAGATGTTAGCTTATTGATAAGATGTTAGCTTATTAACCACAGGAACTGAAATAGAAATGAGACTGAGAACTAGATAAACATTGTTTGCATTTTTGCAAATTTTGACTGGTCATTACTGAATAAAATGGAACCACGTTCAGTGTCTGGGGGTATTAGAGAGTGCTCTATGATCTAAATGTGTTCTCAGCAGAGCTGAAGCAGCCAGACTGCAGTGACAAGGAAAAGGCTTCCTCATTCCATCTTCACTGGACAGGTGGAACAGTAGATTGGCTTTTCAAATGTATTCCCCTGCAAAGACAGTTCCACAGATGACCTATACCTCCTAAGCTCCAAACACTCCCTGGCAGCAGGCCACATGGTGTCTTAATTCTTTAATGAAAGGAGTAACATCTGCTTAAAGGTCTTACAGCTTCAGGAGACCTGAAGTTCCTAAATCTATAGCCCATTAAGCAGACACTGACATTTGTGTGAAGTCCCTGACAGGTCTGCTTAAGAGGATTATTAATGCTCCATCCAAAGAAACGTAAGTGGGAGGCCAAGAGAAAGCTTAAGAACATGTCAGAGATTTCTTTAGTTTTGGAACTCAACTTTTTTTTTTCTGAGACAGCCTCCTGAGTAGCCAGGATTACAGGCGCCCACTACCATGCCCAGCTGATTTTTGTATTTTTAGTAGAGACAGGGTTTCACCATGTTGGTCAGGCTGGTCTTGAACTCCTGACCTCAAGCCATCCACCTGCCTCAGCCTCCCAAAATGCTGGGACTACAGGGGTGAGTCACTGCACCTAGCCAAGGCATACAAAATGTTTGCTGGGATTTTACTTACGTTATTCAATGTCTCTAAGCATCAGTTTTCTCATCTTTAAAATAAGATTAAAAATACATGTTATGAGCCTCCCAGAGTGTATGAAAATGCTCTGAAAAGTATAAAGAACCCTTAAAAAGGAAGATCATATCTCATAAACTAGTAAGGAATCCACAAATCCATTTGTGAAAGAGACCATATATAAATAAGATGAGGCCAGAAGCGTTGGCTCACACCTATAACCCTAGCACTTTGGGAGGCCAAGATGGGAAAATCGCTTGAGGCCAAGAGTTTAAGACCAGCCTGGTCAACATAGTGAGACCCCATCTCTTTAAAAAAAAAAAAAAAAAAAGGAAGAAAGAAAAGAGAGTAAGATGTTGAGAGAATTCTATTCAATTCGACAAGTCATTATGAAAAAAGAGCCAGTTACTAAATGATCTAAATCATGTAATCACCAAGCCTTAGGGTAATCCAGTAAGGGCCACTACATAAATTCATGTCCAAAATTAAGGGGGCACTATTTATATTTACTCTGGGACAAAAGTATCATCCATATGCTGCCTGGCAAACAGAATGCACAGCCACCCCCACAAGCGTAGCCACAGTGGCTGAGCCTGGGCTCAGAGACCAGCTGACTGCAACCATTCCCAAAATCCACACTTAGAACTTGGTGACCTGGGAGACATCATTAAACTGTGCTCTGTCTTGGTTTTCTCATCTGTAAAACGGGGATAATGGACCCATGCCTTGATGCTGATGTGACATTGTGTATGGAGCATTCAGAATCGTGCCTGGCATTAGCAAGAGCTCAATAAAAGTTAGTGGTCATTCCACATCTAGGCCAGTCATACACACACACACACACACACACACACACACACACACTCACACTCTAAATTCCAACCAGTCTACAGACTTTCCAGTGTGATCCCAAAAGCCCCACCGGCAGGCATGGCCCAGCACTTGCAAATGAATCTCCAGGAGGTGTGGCAATCTTTTCTTTGATACCTGCTCCTTCACACTCCCATTTCTGCCTCCCCATCCTGGTTTCCGAACTCATTTTGGAATGCAGGGTTGCAGTGCCAGTCTGGAATCTTGCAATGCCTTGTCAGGAAATACAGCAAAATCCTTTGTTATCAGAGCAGGAGACAGAATGACTGGATGATTAATTTCCTATAGTAGTAGTCTTTCCCAGTGAGTACGGTTGTGTCCGTCTGATACAGGGGCCACTATTTTACTTCTAATTTTTAAACTTTTGTATACTAAAATAATAATGTGTTAACATCATCTTAAATGCAAGCTGTGCAAACACGTTCCTGAATATATTTCCTCTTGTCACGTTCTGTCCTAAACGAAACCCTAAGTTATTACAGTTCAACACAAAAAGACTACAAGTATACACTAAACTACTTTCTGCGAACTTGGAATCGTGATAATGGTTATCCTGATTATAAAAAACAACAGCTATAACAATTAATATTTATTCACTGCATACTAAGTGCCAGGCATTTCTCTAAGCACATTATGGTCATTTTATCCCTAACAAATCTGTGAAGTAGGTATTATTATTATTATTATTATTATTATTATTTTGAGATGGAGTTTCACTCTTGTTGCCCAGGCTGGAATGCAGTGGCGCCATCTTGGCTCACTGCAACCTCTGTCTCTGGGTTCAAGC